GTGAAGACGGCGCTGCTAGCGGTTCAAAGGTCGCTTCCCGTGCCAGCGCCGGTGCCGCTGGCGTCGAAGGGGGTGCGACGGCGGCAGCTTCGCCGCCTCGGAGCGCGGACCGGAGCTTGCCGCGGCCAGCGGGGCGGGCGCGACCCAGGCCAAGACCAAGGCCGCGGCGTCTTCGGCGGGGGCGGTGATTTTCAACGGCGTCGAGATCAGCGCTGGGCCGTCGTCGTCGTCGTCGTCGTCGTCGAGCGGTGACGGTGGCAAGCGGGCCGAGGTAGCTGTACGACGGGTGGGTGCGTCGGGCCGACGACGAGGTGGGGGTGCCCTTTGTGTCGACGCCGACGGCCAAGGCGACGAGGAAGGGTGGGACCTGGTCTAGTTGGCGCCGCGAGGTGGCACGCCTGCTTGACCGTGTCTTCCGGCTCTCTCTAGCCTGCCTGTTTACCTGGGATAGGGTAGGGTAGGGTCGATATCATGCCATGCCATGGCGATTGTACCTCTGATGCATCCAATCAGATCATCTGGAGCATGATGGAGCAGCATCAGCAGCAGCAGCAGCATGAAGAGACCTGCCTAGGCTCATGCGTGGGTTACCAGCCAGCAAGCCAGCAGATAGACAAACAGACGAAGCAAAGCAAAGCAAGGATAGGCTGTTTGTGCACGCTGCTCGGCCTGCCGAAGGGACGGGCAGGCAGGCAGGCAGGTAGGCGTATGCTCAGTACTTGCGCAGGCGAGGTGGTCCCACGCTACCATTCGGCATCGAGCAGCGCGCGTGATGGTGGTACATGTACATACGGTACGGTGTTGACCCTGCCCTAGCCTGCTACCGGTACAGCTCGATCTGTCGCGTACCTGTGGCATGGGCGCAGGCAGCGTATGGGCATGGCAGGACGACGTACCAGCGAGCTGCGTAGTGCAGTACGCAGTCAGGCAGGTTGCACCTGTGGTACCTACGGCAGGTAGGAGGGGTGGTGCGGGCCTGGCCTGGCCTGACCTGGCCTGGGGGGCCACATGCACGCACGCACGGACAGACAGAGCCGCCAGCGCGCCGCGGGGATTTGGGTTTGCTTTGCTTTCCTTTCACGCGAGCGCCCCCCGCCTGGCTGCACCTACCTCTGGCTTGCTTGCTGCTGCTGGCCTGCCTGCCTACCTGCTTGCATCTCTGCGCTGGCTGCTCGCTCGCTGGCTGCAACGCACGGCGCGGCGCCTACGACGGCCAATTTTGGAATAGGAATTTTGGGTGGGGCGCTGCCTGCCTGCTGGCCTCGTCTTCCCGATCCTCGTCGAGCCAGCAAGCAGGCCAGCAAGCAGGTAGGCCCGCCAACAAGCCGCCGCTGAACCTCGCCTCGCCTAGCCTGGTGGCCTCGGTAGCGCATCGGAAGGATTCCATCGCAGCAGCAGCAGCAGCCGTCTTAGCCTCGCTCCCTTTCGTCTTTGCACACCCACGCGCGCACGCACGTACGTACGTCTCCATCGAGTCGGATACCGTAGTGTACGCGGCCCGACTCTGGAGGTGGACCACGCGGTACGTTAGGTGGCACCGAGAGGGATGGCGCTGAAAGGCTAGGCAGGGGTGGTGAAGATGCGATGCGATGGCCGCGGGCGAGGAAGGGGGGAGGGGCAAGACATGCTCATACGACCCTTGCTTGCTTGCTTGCTTGCTTGCTTGCTTGCCGCGTCGATGGGAGGCGGCCAAAGGGTAGCGGCGCGGGCGGCGTCAGAGGAGACGGACTCCGCTCGGTCCGTCCTTCGCCCCTGCCCCCGCTGCTTGCGCTGGCCCCGCTCGCTGGCTGCAGGCTCCTGCGGCTGGTACCGCGGCAGGCGGGGGAGAGCGGGCGGGAGACCCAACCGAAAGGCGGGGGGCGGGCGGGCGCGGGCCGTGGTCGTGTGGAGGCAGAGGCCGGCAGGCAGGCAGGTGTTGGGGGGAGGGGCTGCTTTGGCCTGGCACACTTAGCTGGCCTGGCAGATGCAAAGCAGGCAGGCCGCGGCAGACGAGCTGCAGACCCTCAAGCAGCCCAACAGACGCGGCCCATCCATCCGTCGCTGCTCTCGGTCTCGGCAGGTTGCCGCTGGCTAGGTGGTGGTGGTGGTGGTGGTGGTGGATGGCTGCCGGCCCCTCTCAGCTGATGATGGCCAGCATCCAACGTCGACCACGGCAGGCAGGCAGGCAGGCAGGCAGGGAGCCAACGCGCCTCGCCTCGCCTGGCCCTACCAGCAGCCGCAGGCGGGCATGCATCGCTGCTGCTGCTGCTTTGCCCTAGTCGTCAAGCGAGGTCGTCGAGCCACGGCCAAGCCTGGCCAAAGCAAGCAAAGCCAACAAAGGCAAAGGCAGCCATCCTCGCTCCCTCGCTCGCTCCCTCTGGCGACCTCCTTTGCTTGCGGCTTTCTTCTTGCGCAACGTCGGTCGGCTCATCCTTCCGTCTCTCTCCCTGCCGCCACGGTCACCACCACCACCAGCACCACCACCACCACCACCACCATCATACCCGCCAACAATAGGCGTTCGACTGCCGCTCTCGCTCGCTGCCGGCGTCGCATACCCATCCCTCACGCCTACCCTTGCCGACTGCCGCCACGCCGCCACCCCGCCACCCCGCACCGTCATCATCCTCGTCATCGTCATCCCCGCCATTATCTCCCTCTCGGCCCGCCTTGCTCCCGTGCACCATCCTCGTTTTCCTGCCACGACACTAGCGACCCCTCGCAGTCACGCCCGCGCACCACCCGTCATCATCCCCGCACAGTCGATACCCGCAGCGCAGCGCCTGCTGCCCCCCGTCTTAACCCACCTCGCCGCTGCATCCGACCCAGTGGTACCTGCCACTGCTTACTAGCACAGGCAGCACTGGCACATACCCCGCGCATCCCCCCTCTCTCCTGCCACGAACGACTCAGCTCACGACCCCCCATCGGGCCCCGCCGCCGCCATGGCACCCTTCCTCAAGGGGTTCAGGGACACGCTCTCCAAGCGCAAGTCGTTCAACAGCCAGCTCGACCGCGCCGACTCCATCTCGTCGCCATCCCTCCCGGACCGCTTTGCCCACCACATCCCCTCGTCGTCCACGGCACCCTCCATCTACTCGCCCTCGCTCCACGGCGCCACCGACAACGCCAACCCTGCTACCCGCCAGCGCGGCGGCAGCATCGGCAGAGCACCCTCCCTCGCCGGCACCACCGACGGCAGCCTACATCCGAGCGCCTCTTCCAACGACGCACCCCTCGTCCGCGTAGACTCGTCGGCGTCGTCCCTCGACCTCTCGCCCTCTTCCCCGGCCCCACACCACCGCAACAAGCCCGCCGCCAATGGCCAACCCTCGGCCCCCTTGTCCAACGGCGCCGCCGCCGCCGCACGGCGCCCGCGCAAGGGCCTCTCGAGCCTGCCCCTCGCAAAGTCGATCGTCAACCACGTGTCGGCAAAGTCGGCCATCCGCCTCGAGTCGCTCAACCTCATCAACCCGGCCATCGACACCTTTGACGTCAGGCTCGTCATCCGCCTCACCAACCACTTTCCCGTAAAAGCCAAGATCCTCTTTCCAGACGGGCTCGCCCTCTACCCGGCCGCCGCGCAGGCCGACCCGGACAGCCGGGTCCACGTCCGCATCCCCGAGCTCCGCATCAAGCCCACCGTCAACGGCCACTCGTTCATCGAAATGGTCGGCTCCGTCCACGCCTCGCCTGCCCACCTCGCCGACCTGGTCCGCAACGTCCTCGCCGGCCACGGCAAGATCGACTACATCATCTCGACCGACTGCGCAGAGGTGCGCGCCTACAAGCTCCGCTTCGGCCACATCCGCTTCCACAAGACGCTCCAGCTCGGCGGACTCGCCAACCTCAACGGCGCCATCCACATGCCCGTCGTACTGCCCCCCGCAGGCGCATCGGCCCCCACCTCGCCCAACCCGGCATCCTCGCCACCCGCCTCGCCCATGCCGCCGTCGTCGCCCGACGCCCAGGCCTTTGGACACGCCACCGCGGGCAGGTCGGCAAAGGCCAAGTTCGGCCTCGGGTTAGGGATGGGTGCAGGCGCCGGTCCGGATGCGGGGACGGGTTTGGGCGCTGGGACAGGTCTAGACGCCGCCGGGCCAGGGACAGCCCCTGGCACCGGGCATGGCCACAGCCTGACGGCCATCGCCTCGTCCACCTCGGCCTCGACGGCGGCCTCCGAGGGCCACCTCGTCCTCGCCGTCGAGCAGTTTGAGATCATCAACGGCACGCCCGAAAAGGGCATCGAGATCCGCGCCCTCATCAGCCTCGAGAACTCGTCGTACAACGTCGCCGTCGAGCTCGGCGCCCTCACGCTCAAGCTGGCCGTCCCCCATCCGGGCGCATCGCCCTCGGCGCCCTTCCGCACCGTCTTGGGCCTGCTGACGATCCCCTCGCTCGTGCTTCGCCGCGGCAAAAACATCCTCGAGGCCATCGGCAGCCTCCAGATCCCCGCACGCGAGGGCGCCCAGCGGACCGCCGGCCTCGACACGATGCGCAAGGTGCTCGAGAACAAGCCCATCGACCTGGTCGCCTACGTCTTTGCGCGGTCCTCGCCCTACCCGTGGCTCGTCGGCGCGCTCGGGGACGCATCCTTCCGCGCCCGCGTGCCTCCGTACGGCGTGCGCTCCCGCATCCTCGACGGCGCCTCGCTCATCCCCGCCGATGGCGGCGTCGGCGACCCGGCCGCCGAACCGCTGCCGTCGGCAGCAGCGGGTGGACCCGGCGGCATCGACTCGCAGCTGCGCAACCCGCTCATCGCGCGCGCCACGCTCCGCAACGGCTTCGGCCCGCCGCTGCGCGTCCACTCGCTCTACGTCGAGGCCATCAAGGAGACTGGCGCGCCGCGCGCCCGCCGCTCGGTCCTGCCGCCGCTGATGCTCGGCGTCATCGAGACGCAGGAGGGGTGGCCCGGCCTCGTGCTCAACGGCGACGAGCCCACCCATGCCAGCCTGCCGTTCACCATGTCGGCCGACAGCGCCATCTATGTCCAGATCCTGCGCCACGAGGCGCACGCCAACAATGTGCCGCTGGGCCGCGCGCTCGAGGAGGCGCTTGAGCTCATCCCGCAGTTCCGCGACCGCAACCGCGACCAGGATTGGGACCGACCGGCCAGCGAATCGCTAGCGGCCGCGCTGGCCAGGCAGCGAGAGCAACGGCGGCCCTCTGCGGCGGGCACCGTCGCCTCGAGCGCCGGCTCGTCGTCGGCTCACAGCGAGCCGCCGCTCGACCTGCCGGCGCTGGTGGCCAAGGTGCTCGCCAACCTGCACATCACCGCCCACGTCGAGGTCGAGGCGTCGATCGGGTCCTACCGCATCCCCGGCCGCCTCGCCTTCATCCAGGATGCCTTGCCGATCGCCATCACCACCAGCTCGGCGCGCCACATCCTGCCCGTCGTCGGCAAGCCGCTGGTCGATGCGCTGCTGCAGCAGGCCAAAGTGACGCTCGCCGCGCTCGAGGTGCTTCAGATGGACGAGTCTGGCCTGGCAGTCAGCGTCGAGATCGCCCTCGTCGACTTTGGGCCGCTCGACATCGAGATCCACTTTGACCGCGGGCTTGACCTCGTCCTCGTCGATGCGCACGGCGGCCTCGAGGCCGGCACCGTCGTGGCGCGCATGACGATCGCTGCGCCGCTCCGGGGCGTCGTTGGCAGCGACCAGGTTCTCAAGAGGTGAGCGAGTGTGGCCGTAACCCGGATTCTCTGTGCGTGCCGTACATGACGCTGACACTATCCCTCTTTGCCCACCTCCAAACCCCCCTGACCTCGCCATCGCAGCCATGCGCAGATCTCGCCCGCGGGCGGCGCCAAGGGCGTGGCCAACTTTGCTGCGCTCGTCTCGACGCTCATCGCCCAGCCGGCGATCGCCATCCGCATCGAGACGCCGGCTTGCAGGATCGTCGCGGCCAAGGCCGAGTTCACGACGCCGCTCACCAAGGTCGTCTCGCTGGCCGGCCTCGACAACCTGGGCCAGCTGCAGCTCTCCGACTTTGAGATCCTGGGCGAGGTGCCCGCCCCGACTGGCGGGGGCCGTGGACGCGCGCTCAGCTTCAGCCGCGGCGGCGCTGCTCCCTCGCAGGCCCACGGCAACCGGCAGATGGCGTACAACATCCGCATCCGCGTGCGCGTCGAGCATCCGGGCAAGCTGGCCCTCAACCTCGCCTACCTCGAGGCGGGCCTCGAGTGGATGGGCGTCCAGGTGGGCCTCATCTCCGCCGAGGACGTCTTCCTCCGCCCCGCGCCCGCCAACGTGACCGAGTTTGAGGCGCACGGCCACATCTTTGTCGGCAGCGAGACGGCCCACGACACCGGCCTGACCGCTGACCAGTACCGCCAGCGCGCACTCGACGCCATCGGCGACCTCATCTCGGGCTACGTCCAGGGCCGCGAGCTGCCCGTGACGGTGCGGGGCTACCGCGCCTTTGCAGCCGGGCCCCCGATCGTTGGCGCTGGCTTCGACGTCGGTGGAAGCAGCAGCGTCCACGGCAGCACCACCCACGGCTCTAGCGTCAATGGGCACGGGGCGGCTGCGGCGGCGGCGGGGCCGGCGCTGCGCAATCGCGGCTCGTTCACGTCGACCACCTCGGCCTCGCACGGGTCTCGGCGCAAGACGGCGTCGATGCTCACGACGGCCAGCGGCAGCGGCAGCGGAGGCGTCGTCGGCGCCGCCGGCGGAGCCAGCGGCATCAATGGCGTCCACGGCGTCCACGGCGTCAATGGTATCAACGGCGTCAGGCCGGAGCGGAGCGCCTCGCAAAGCACGGCGGGCAGCAGCACCCACGCTTCGCGGCGCCAGGTGCCGTGGCTGGACCAGGCCTTCCAGAGCTTCACGACGGTGGCCGTCCTGCGCGGCGAACCCATCGACCCGGTCAAGTCGCTCACCGTCTCGGGGCTCGACGCCGAATTCGTGCGCGACGGCCCTCCGCGCGTCGTCGTCAACGGCGTCGAGCTCGTGACGCAGATCCCGTTGCCCGTCACCTACCAGATCCAGGCGGTGACGGCCGAGATGGACGTGCTCTACGGCGATCGCGGCACGCTGGCCAGGGCCATTGTCGCCGAGACCGACGTGCACATCGGCCCGCCGCTGCCTCCCATGCCCGCGCCGTCTGCGCCGCCCTCGGCGTTTCCGACGTCGCCCTCGCTCGAAGACTCGAGGATGGGCTCGGCGCGCACCGGCAGCATCAAGCGGCTGCACTCGATGCATCGCCGGTCCGACCTCGGCCACGGCCATGCCAACGGCAACGGCGCCGGCGCCCATGCGGCAGCAGCGGGTGCCGCAGTTGCAACGCCTCCGGCATCTCCGGCGCCCTCGACGCCGCCACCGCCGCCGCCGCCGCCATCGTCGGCGCTGCCCGGGGCGAGCGCGCTGAGCAGCGTGGCGCAGCGGATCCAGCTGCAGCCGTCGCAGTTTACGCTGCACGCCGACGACGAGGAGCTGCTGGGCGAGGCCGTGGCGCACATCTGCAGCTGCGAGACGACGGACCTTATCCGCGTCACGGGGCGGGCGCGGGCGCGCATCCTGACGGCGCTCGGCACGCTGTGGATCGCCGTGTCGCTGCAGGCGCAGCAGCACACGCTGGCCATTTCCGGGCTGCGCAACCTGGCGTCGAGCCCGGTGCAGTACACCAACCTGCAGGTGGTCGAGGCGACGCCGGCGTTTCTCAAGATCGTCTTTAGCCTCTACCTCAACAACCCGTCGCGCTCGCTCCAGGTGCGCATCCAGTCGCCCTTTAGCATGGCGGCCTACTACCGCGGCGTGTGCGTGGGGCGCGCCTACATCGGCGGCGGCTTCGCGATGCCCTCGGGCCCCGTGGCGGTGCACGACATCCACTTCCGCTACTGCCCCGACGCGCGCTCCGAGGCCCAGGTGCGCGACATCCCCGCCAACTTCCTCAGCGGGCGCACGACGACGCTCGAGATCCGGGGCGACGCCGAGTCGATCGAGGACCGCACGCTGCAGCGCGCCCTCGAGGGCGTCCGGCTGCGCTTCGACCTCAAGCCCATGATTTCGGCGTCGCTCATCGACTCGATTTCCATCACGCTCGGCGTCGGCGTGCTGACGGCCAACACGGTGTCGTGCGAGTTTACCGTGCTCAACCCGCTCGGCGTGCCGTTTGACCTGCTCTCGCTCTCGTTTGTCGCCTCGTACCGCTCGGCGCCGTTTGGGTCGTGCACGGTGCACTACGAGCGCCAGTCGCCGTTGCGCGTCCCGCCGGGGACAAAGGACCAGCCGGGGCGCCAGACGTCGTCGCCCGTCGACGTCGTCCTGGCGCAGCCGCTCGAGACGGTCGTGGGCGCGTTTCTCAAGGAAAAGGGCTCCATCTACCTCGACGTCGACCTCGAGGCCAAGGTCGAGATTGGCGGCTTCGAGATCCCCGTCTTCCAGTACCGCCAGCCCCGCCTGCCCCTCGTCGTCAAGGGCCTTGGGGGCGTTGGTGGGCTGCTCAAGCTGATTGGATGAGGGGACGTCGAGAGGCACGGAGAGAGGGAGGGATCTGCGTCGTCGTCGTCGTCGTCGTCGTCGTTTTCGTCGGTGCTTGTTGGTTTGCACGTTAAGAGGGCGAAGGGCGAAGGACGAGGGGGAGGGTGCGGTGCGGCTGGTGCCCTGTCCCCCCTTCTGGGCTTCGGTCCGATCTTGCTTTATCTCTGCCCCTGGTCGAATAGGGGCGCAGCCTGCCTGCTGTACTGCTGTCGTATACCCTGCACTCGCTGCACCCCGTGAGGCTCCCCTGCAGATGCCACGCCTGCTGCCTGTGCTTCGGCTCCACTCCATCCGGATCGGCACCAAAGCGTCGTGTCGCCTCGCACCGCCTGCCCGTCTGCCCGGCTGCGACTGTCAGCTACCCACGCTTACTCGGCGGAGGGGGCAAAAGCGGCCCGCCGCCGCCTCCCAGTAGGCTTGGCCCGGTACCGGAGCCGGTGCCGCCGCCGCCGCCGCCGCCGGCGATTTTGCGTCCCGAGCCGCCACCGGGGATCTTGACCGAGATCGTCTGGCCCTGTTTGAGCGAAAAGTCGCGCTTAGGTCCCGAAGGGAGGTGCGGCGATGGTTCTGCTGCCGAGGAGGGGGAAGACGAGGAGTCGGCGGAGGAAGACGAGCGAGGGTCGAGGAGCGACTTTTGCCGTTTTGTCCAGTCCTGCAGCGCTACGTTGAAGTCGAAGCTGTCGGAACGGTCTTGGAACTTTGCAGCGGGGTCGGCGTCGATGGGAGGGGGGGGGGGGGGGGGGGGAAGAGGGAAAGGAGGGAGGGAAGGAGAAAGGAGGAAGAGGGCAGGTTGGGTCATCCCAGCACATAGGGGCGAAGATCGAAGGTTCAAAGGGGTAGCAGAGGGGTGAA